TAGCATAAAAGCTGAATATAAAAATTTGGCATGTGTATGCATTTGTACTTATTCATCATGGATCACACTTTCTTTATACCTGTAATCATTTACTGATGTTAAAAGATTCAAAGATGAGTAGGAGAATTCATCTAATCTGTTTTGTATAATTTGCCCCAAGAATGAGCTAGCTTATTAGTAGCTTTCGTACAATACACCATGAACTTGCCAAGACTAAAAAAGAAAACCCTCTCAGCTACAATACATTTTTAATTTCTAGTCTGACATCAAAAACATGAAATGGAAATAGTTTTTCTGGCTTTTTACCTGAACTTTGCAGCGGTTGTGGGGTCAGTTTGAAAAACTGACAGAAGTTAAGTGCTTTAGTGAAACAAAATACATTAACATTTTATGAAAGAGAATTACACTACCACTCATTTTATACAAGACTGATGACCTTCCCAAATTTATTTCCTGTAGCACGCAAGGATACATCCCCTTCTTTGAAGGGAAAGAATGACAGCTTCCACCAGGCACAATGAGGAAGGGGGGAAAAAAAGATACCAAGTATTTAGTCTTACACAAAAAAGAAGAGAGGCAACTCTTCAACCACTGGAAATTTCGCAAAGTTACACTGCTACAATGCCCTGCTCATTCTACTAGTATTAATTCTTTATAGCAGTGAAATGCTCTTAAATACATTATGTTCACTTCCTTCCACACGGATTAGTCAATTTGTTACCATGTCATATTCACAGAATATGAACCATGAAGCTGCTGCTAAAATTGAGGAAATAACAGGGCTATGTGTTTAGGAAATGAAATCAGGTTCGTTTAAGTGGATTAGATATTTTAAAATTAGGTAACGTTTTGAAAATTGCTTGATACATCAAGTGAAAAAGGTAAACTCATACTTCCACTTTATAAAAGATGTTTCACAACAGCACAAGCATAGGATAAGGAAAGCCTGCCTTTTACCTGTACTGTTTTAAATATATAATTGTTTTTAAGTAAAACAGTATGAACACGTGTTCCCTCTCGATCATTGAGTCTGATATACTTTTGTACAATTTCTAATGCCTAAAATTCACAGAAGAATATTAGTCAGGACAGAAGTGATATCTCCAAAAAGCCGTCCTATCAATCCAATGTACATTGGACAACGTTATTTAACAAGCGATCAGACTTAAGAAAAACAAAACAAGCCCAGTAACTTTTCTCAAAGGCTAAATCATAAACATACGCCTTGTAAAACAAAAGAACACACTTTTGGTCCATTCTAGAATGCTCGAGCAGAAAGAAAGTATAATTAGAGGCATCTTGTAAATACCTTAATCTTACAGTTCTATTACAGCAACTTGCTCTAGGACGTACTTTGAATATTCTTAACGCTGAATACTTCCAGGAAGGCACGCGCTTTTCCCCCTACGAGAGGGCACTGATCTATTCCATTTCTCTAATTCTCCAACACTCACCTTCTGAACTTTCAGAGTAAAAACAAACAACTGGTACTAAATTTAGAAGATATTGCACTATAAGCAACATTCCAGGAATGATCTGAAGGGTGTGCACTGTACAGTGATACTCTTTGGAATTTCATGGCTTACAAATATTCATAAACGTTTAATTTTAAATGGATTAAAGTGTGCCTCTTAAGTCATAGCTGCTTTTAAAGATTTTCATTCTTAAACTAGCTACTTTATACTATATCTGGAAGCTAAGATCAGCAAATTCCAGTTCATCATGGATGCAAGTGCATTGCATTTATGGGACAATACAAAAACAAGGAAGAGAGAAAAAAATTTAGCTGCAAAACGGTGTCCATTTTAAAACATCTCATAACGTGAATATACATACCTTTTCTTTTAATAGGGCCAAGAACACTGGGCCTGATACAGTTGATTGGACTTTGACTCCTTCTGCTAAAGAGAGAGCACTGATAGCACTGATAGCAAGGTGTGTAAAGTTTCCAAATTTGAACATCATACCTAGTATCAAATCAATTCAATCGTATCACATGAAATACTTTTTAAAACTATTCCCTTACAACTGGAATGTTAGGGAATCTGAATATGTAGATAAACAAGGAAGTGCTGCCTATGAGAGCAGATTATCTGTTGTACAAATTTGCAGTAGACTTGCTAGAACTTTCAGCACAGCGCATCACATTCTCACTTAAGTCCATTCCTAAACTGGATATAATATTGATATAATACGCTGACAAATCTCATGAAGGTCAACTGAAGCATCTAGGAATTTCCCAAAAGTCTATTTTAAAGTTGACAGAGACTATCAAAAGAAAACCCACAGAAAGTCACCACTGGTAAAGTTTGAGCTTTTAAAGCATTTTCATGTGGTAATAATTTGATAAAGCTTTGACAAAGTGAAATCTCTTTTAACGCCTGAACATCAGCTATAATTAATCTTTGTGCTAGCCTTGGAATTTAAGCCAATGAATTCCTGTTCCTTTGAAAAGTTACTTACCTGGAGAACCGCCTTGTTGGACTGGGAATAGGACTTGGAGGTAATCCATTACTGCTCACAAACATTTGCAGCGATGGTGAAAAACATTGCTGCAGAAAGAGCCACGTTAAGAAGCTTCAGAATTTGTTTTTAAATGCTCTAGTGTTCCCTCCCACTCCTCCAAAACATCCCCAATTAAAGAAAACCTACTAACAAAACAGGGCAGAGACGATCAAACATAATCTTAGAGGCATTAAAATCGGACTTACAGAAACATACTGGCTAAAGCAATACTGCTCACATTAACCGTAAATTCAAAAACCCGCGAAAACAGAAGTCGAAATAGACATTGTTTTCTAAATAAAAAGTGCTGTTTCAGTTCTTCCCGCTACATTTAGGAGTAGCAGTACCGTACTTAGCACTTATTTTTTAAAAGATGCCTGTTAGACAAAGAAGTAGAGTTTACTCAGAATATGCCTGATCTGAAAGCTTAACACGATCTACCAGAGCAGAACAGAATATTTAACTCTGCTTTCTACTACTGCTTTACAGTTGCAATTCTAAGGGCACAGGGCCAGATCCCAGCATTACAGCATCATACCAGGATGGGATTCACTCAGCACTAGTACGTGGCTCCTCTATGCATCAACACAAATACTCATAAAGCCATGCAATGATACAGTAGCACTACAAAAGCAGAACCACAAAAGAGTATGAAAACAAGGTCGAGAAGACTGTCTTCAAACACAGTTGCCAGTTTCTCTGTGCTACGTTTCAGTTCTCCAGTTGTAACCGAAAATAGTAGAGAAGATCTTTAACTGAAGTCCATCTCTTTCCTTTTGCCAGCATCTGCCAGCCTCCAATGCAAATTGAACATGTCCAAATTTGAACAGTCTTCTACAGCAACTTTATGCCCTCCTTTCCACATCCGATGGACACAATTCCACTGTCATCATACACGTCTGCAGCTTCTCATCTTTACCTATTCTCTTCTCTCCACGTTTGGCACATGCAGATCTTGGTGCTTCTTCCACAGCATCACCCCAACTTATGTAGCTCATGTCCTTATCTGATTACTGTAGAGACCTTAGAATGAGAACCCTAACCCCTCCCAAACACCCAGTGTGGCAGAATAACTAGCACAGTGCTTAAACTCTGCAGACTCTAAGACGACAAGCAACTAAGTGTTGAAAGCCAAAAAACGTGAACCTGTAATTGTTAAGCTCTTTTTTTTTTTTTTAAATGTCAAACAATTTGTCAAGTTTCACCTGTCTTCACAGTTCACCTTAACCTAAAATTCTAAAATGTGATCTCTTTTTGATATTTCATTTATCCTACCTTTCCTATTCCCCTAGTAGGTGACGGTGCAGGCGAAACTGGGATGAAGTCTATTCTCTTCGGGGAGGAAGATTTCTCAGACTTGTCCAAGTCATTGTCACTCTGTAAATACAAAAGTTTCAAACTTAAGTGACACAGGATGTTACCTTAGAATCCAAGCCACAACTTTCCGATGGAACATTATTAGGTCAAACGCACAAAAGAACTAAAGCAGATGACCTTAAGACTTTCTTA